ATTATAAGTAGCTGCAAATAATGGTTTTGCATGTGTTTTATTTTGTAGGCATTTTGTGATAGGCATGGCATTTGTCAAAATGTTGTATGTCATCGCTAAATTAGTATTTTTCCCATTATATTTATTTATACATATTAGTATTCATAAAAGTGTGTTTTGATTTATGTGCTCATCAATCGTTGAGGAATTTTCATTTTATAACTTCCCCCCACAATTAAGTATTTATTCACTGTTCTGGTGATGTAGTGCCTTAATGGTGCCTAGTGGCACTTAATTGTCCAAAAATGATTTAACAAATATTTTTCTCAATTTTAAAGACAAATTAAATATAAACATTTATTTAATAAATGAAAGTTATATCAAACACATACTATATCATGCCAAATTTTATGAATCAACTCGAAACATTTCATGTAGAAATAGCAATTGGACCAAAAGATAAGGATGGCCTACAACAAYGGTTGTTTTTTTGCTAGGTGAATGGGCTACACTCCCCCCACCCCACCTAAAACCCTAAGGCGAGATATTCGACCTAGATCTTCATTACAATTAGCAAGAGACTTTACTAGCAAGCCAGCTGGCACCTTCGGGTGCATGTTCGTTGGTAGGTCGATAGGGTCCCAATCTAAAGGAACCTTTTAGTTCTAACTTATAAGGTGGGCCATCCAATGGACCCAATTTCATTGGGTATTCCCAAATTATGGTATCATCATTGTACTGTAAAATAGAGAAAGCATACAACTTTTTTGTTGTCTGAAATTTTGATCCAAAGATGAACACTGTAATACAGGACCCGTAACCTAATGAGAAGGGTGAAGGCAGAATCTGATCTGGGATCAGATCAGATCATGAGTAGGAAGTAGAAAGTAGAAAGTAGAAACTATATCCATCACTGACTGTACCAGGTGATGAACCAGCTGGCACTTTGATCACTAATACGTCGAAAAGACAACGGGACTGCTTCTGGAAACATCTCCAGAAAGCAACAAGTAGGAACAACCCTACAGACAGACAAAGTGGGACGAATTAGTATCTTATCTTCAGAAAAGATAGATAGCAAGAAACTGTAACAGCATTGACATGTTTCTACATTCTATTTGTCCTTTACAAATTTGCAAATATTCTGTCCATATGAGGTGTCACAGGAAAAGATCATTTGTAACTCTTACGTTAAGTAAGATTATGTTTGGTTTCAAGGAAAAGGTAGGGAAAGGAAGGAAACATATATAAGGTTTGTAAAAATTTCCTACATTTCCCTTTTTTTTCCTATTTTTTCTTTCAAACTAAACACAACCTAATTGCTTAGTTTGATTTCTGGCTTTCTAGTTATTGGGGTTTTYGTGAAACAAATCTTTTGGGCAGGAGACATTTTCACTCTCAAATTCTCAACTACATTTTCACATATAAGGCTCAGTTTGAAAGGAGTACAAATACATATATAGAGTGTAAATTCTTGTATTTTATATTATTTTATATGTATTTGTACCGTACATATTTATATTTGTCAAAATGCAATTTCATCAAAACAAACTGAAAATGTTTTCAGTGTGCTTCAGCAACGTACCCTTGTTTCTAAAACCATTAAGTATTTTTAATTCCGAGCATGAACAAGTTTAGTACCGTAGGCGTTTTTTAAAAAAAAAAAACATTTATACCTTAAAAACCATTGAAATAGTATTAAATTATATACACATTTTTTATTATTTATTCAAGCCAATTAGGCATCACTAATTAGGTGTTACATACATCAAGAATTAAAGAACAGTGGTACCATTGCAATAAGCTTCATTTTGTGTTTGCTACACCGGTAACTTTTCATACAATTGGAGGCATTTAAAAAATAATAAACTTCCCAACCAAACAAAAAGTAAGTGTTTAATACCATGTCAATGGTGCTGAAGACATATTCAAGAAGGCTGACATGGGCTAACACTTGGTGTGTGCATGCACACTGAAAAATTTTTAAGACGGTTGATAGGATTTTGATTTCKATTGATCGAGATGCTTATGTTCTTTTTTTTTTAATTTATATGGGGTCTATGAAAAATTCATTTTCCCTGGATATTACCTAAGTAAGTGATTCTTATCTCCAAATTGGATAAATAATTTTAACACTTTGGAGGAGGGGGGCAGTTGCCCACACTTAGATGAGACAAAATTGTCCGTTTAATAATGGATTCTTATGATTAAAACGGCCATTATTTTGTTTACCTAAGAAATAAAAGAACATACATATATATAAATGCACTATTCGGATAAATAGCTTCCCAAAAAAGGAAGAAGCCTTAAAGTTATTAGGATTTATACCGGTTCATATTCAAATGAATTTACATCTCCAAAATAAGAAAATAAAGAACATGTTTCTGACTTCATTTTCTAAAATAGAAAAACGTAGACAGTGAATAACATGTTTTCTGGGGTTTTGTTTCAAGAAAATATTATTTTGTCAGRTATGAAAACTAGTTTTTTTCTTGAAATTGCACAAAGGAAATTGGAGAACACCTCTTTAGTTTTCTGTTCCTTTTAATACAGATGAAACCCCTTAATCACCACTAAATTCACTGGGTTGGTTAATAATTTCATGAGAGTTATTGGGCAGCCACATCAGTAATACCTTATAATTTTTGGTCTGAATGTAAACCAACTGATGAACTGATCATATATATGGTTATAGTCATTTAGTCTCCTCGGGCCTCAACGTTTAGGGTGAGCGCATTGAATCATGGGCTTCTTAGGGGGACCTCAGACTTTACTTTGAGAACTATATTGCTAAGAGAGATTGGTCAAAGAAATATTCTCCTGAAAATTTTCTTTGGACTCTCAGCAGGAGTGTCTACACATCTTTCTCATTCTTCATTTTAGATTGAGAAACTTGAATGTGTCACAATTCCCTCAAATGCCAGGCATCTTACACTAGTTCATGAACTCTCCAGACTCCAGGGACAATTTATTCCTTAGATTGCATATTTGTCCCATCACACTAGAATCTGATTCAAAATGTCTAATATGTATTCAAGTAAGTGCAAAGTTGACATGTGGTATTGCCTTGGTAACAAGTTAAATGGTGTCAAAACAAAAATGAGAAAAAAAAAGAAGTAAATAAAGGCCCAACAAATGGAAAATCTTTTAGACTGCATTTGGAAACGATGCAAATAAGTGTGAATGCAAATATTTAGAGTGTAAAACAGTACATATAAATTGCAAAGTTGGGTTAATTTTGCATTGACAAATTTACCTTCTTACCAAATAGACTTTTAGCTGTAATGGATGCAAATACGAATTCCAATAAAGCATATGCTTTTTTTTTTATCAAAAGCCCACTTGAATGCAAATTTACTTCTTTTTTATTGATGTACTTTTACATCTTATTATCAATGTAAATATGCATTGAAAAATGTATTTTCTATTATTTGTCAATACATAAATGTAATGTTGCCAAAACACAGGCAAAAGTGAACCAGAGTGCAAATTTACCTTGAACCGGGATTTACACTCTATTTGCATAGTTTCCAAACGCAGCCTTATGAAATTGACTTGAAGGACTATAAGTATATTAACCCCATTATTTTCCCCTTTTGGTTGTATGAGACTTTGTTTATTTGCAGTGCAAATTAATCTGAACCGTATACAAATTTTGCACCTGGTTCAGTTTTGCATCCTTTAACTGTTTATTTCCATAATTTGCATTCTTAACTGATACAAAAAATTCACTTTTTGTCCCATTTGCACTCACTGACAATGCAAGCTAGCTTGCATCCCAAAAGCTGATGCAATATTTACACCGCATTCCTCCCGTCCTTCCTCGATTCTCTCTCAAAGAATGTGGTTCCAGCAACTACCACATCTTCTTGCTTTCTACCTCACACTCCAAAACAATTAACCCCCCTCCTACCTCCACTCTCTTTCATATAAGGCAGGAATCACATTATATTTTCCTATTATACATCTTACAAACAAATAAGACAAAATTAAGGCTGTATGTGGCATTTCTTATTTTAAGGATATCTCTTTTTTTCTGTTAAAATTTCAGTGTTTATAAGGGCATTTTAACCCTAAAAAGAAATGCCAAATGCAGCCTAATTCAGTGTTCATAAGTCCTTAAAATAAGGAATGCCAAATAAAACTTAGTTCTAAAGCAAAAGTAAATCAAAATTTACACTCTGCTTGCTTGCACTATGCATTTACACAAGCGCAAATGAAATTTACAGTGCAAACAAACTGAACCAGATTAGTTATGGYCAATATCTTTTTCTCTCAACTGTGCTGCTTTCAGTTGGCCTTGGGATTTTGATTGTTAATGTATGAATGCAAATAGGAAAATAATACCTTTTAATCATTTAGCTCAACAAGTTAATAATCTCTCTCATAGCATAGGTCATGGCCGATGAAAGGATACTATGACTCTGATCTAGATCAGCAGAAACCTAGCTAGTGCAAGTTTCTAGCATTGAATCACAGGACAACTTTTAATAATTAAAAAAATTACGAAATATTTAATCTTGGGGGATGTACCTCCCAACCACTTAATATATTATACCATAGTGGACGAAATATATAATAGTTTTCTTTCACATCATTGGTTCTCATGCATCAGTCCATCTTCTATCTTGTCTGCTCACAAAGTCCCCTGTAGTGGAGCGGAGCGGCCGGCTGACTTTTGCTCTAGTAATTTAATATATAACAAATGCAGATCTGATCTTGATTTTGAATTCTAGAACCCAGGTCAGCGAGAAAAAGCAGTTTTCAAGAAGGATCTCAAGAAACCCATGTTTTGATGGAAACAAAATTTTCCTCGTTTTCCAACTTTTTAAACCAAACATTTTGTTTTCTTCTCTCTCTCCTGGTACCAATGAAAATTCAATGACTCAGAAATGCATTTTGTTTCTTCAAAACTTGACTTCATTCCATTGTTTTCACCTTCTATTTACTACGTCGATACATACAAATGCCTTTAATGACAACATAACTATAATTAACTAAAACTCAAAAAGAAAAAGAAATGGCAAAGAAAACCCAGTAGCAAGATTAATAGAAACACCCAACAGAAAGTAAGCTTAACAAGGAAGAAATAACTCAACTCTGAAGAAAACAAAACTGGGTTTTTTAGTGGCGTTTCTTTACCTAATTTGTTGGGCAATAATAACTAGTGAAAGACATGAAAAGATAGGTAGGTTTTCCAGTAGTCTTTCTTATATTTGTTTTGGAAAGCAGGATTCTATGTGTTTTTTCTTCATCTCTTCTATAGTTGGCAAGTTTCAGTAAGTCTACTGATAAAATTTTCTCTTTCTCATGTAGCTAGAGTGGAAACATGGAAAAAGCGATGAAGAACATACCCAACTTAAGAAAAAACAGAACTAGCATCAAGCCTCCATTGGAATTACATTCTCTGTACAAGAGAAGAAGAGAATTGGCCATGAAAAGCTGGATACTTATTCAAACCGAGAAGAGGTCCCCCTCCTCACCCAGTTTCTGTAACTAGTAAAGCGAGAATGATGATTCATCACCTACTTGCGATGTGCTTGCCGATCTCAGGTACTTCTTGGAAGTAGAAGAAGAAGATGATGATGATGATTTTGGGGAAGAAAAATCCCCTGACCTCCTCCTGAGCATCTGTCTCATCCCATCCGCAACTCGGACTGCGGGGTTGGACTTGAATTTCCGACAGAATGACATGTGAGCCATTACAGCTTCTTCCATTCCAAATGGTTTCTTCCCCCTACTCACCTCATCTCTAACAGCTTCTGAGCACAAGCCACAAAGCCATTTCCCGTCGAATTTTGCCTTCACCTCACTAATGTAGTCCTGGGTACAGTCCTCTTTCAATCCGCAGCACTCACATCGCACCAACTCAATCTCCATCTCACTGATGACCTTTCTCTGCTTCTGGGACTCTCTGAAGGATAATCAAACCCAAGTCTCAAGCCAAAGTGATTACAGTATTATTGCCAATTGACGCCGCTTTTGGTTATACTAATGGTAGGCTGCTTTTCTGCTTTGTTGGATTTGCTGGTTTTGTTCACAAGTGGAGTTGGTTCTTGCTAGAGACTTTTTTTTTTTTTATGGTGTGGGAGGAAGAGAAAGATTTGTAGTAGGGAAATTTGCCATGATTTTCTCCCTGTTCTAAGGGACAACGAGAGTAGAAAAATGAAACAATGTGTTGGGGGGGAGGGGGGGGCTCATCTCTCACGGTTGGTCTTTTCTTGCATTTAATACTCAAGATCTAGGGGGTTCAGGAATTGGATTCTCTATTCCCCGTGTCATCTTTCTTTCTGGTCTGGTCTGGTTTTTCTTTCTCACTCTTGGGTTGTTTTCTTTTGTTTGGTTGGCAGTTACTTTCGGTTAGAACTGTGAGATGGCTTGGCTAATTGGGTTGGCTTGGGTGGGCTGGCTCAGATTGTCTTCCAGTATGTAGGCCTCGTTTGTTCTGAATGGTTCTATCTTTATGAATGTATTGATCTCTCGACTTCATTTGTTGAGTGGGAGGGGAAAATTGCATGCTATGGATCATGCACACGGATTCAACCGAGTTAACTCGTTACTGCCAACCGAGACCAACCTATCCTCTACTGCCCTCAAAGGTGGTTGTTCAACTTCCATTTTTGATGAATTTGATCTCTTCTTATATTGATATTAATTAATTTAACTATCTAGGAAAAACAAAATAAATACTAATAGTTAACCAACTATTTGGTCGGTTTAAATACTCATTCGGGTTAAAGTACTTATTGAACAATATTGATTCATCAGTACGAATATTTGGTAGCTAATATTATAGAATATGAATATTCAAATTAAAGTTCTCAAACCCTAAACAGTGGTTAGAATATTTTGGCATTTCTTGTTAATTTTTTAAAGGAGAAATTAGGATCCTAATAAATGCAGGATCTGAAAAATATGGAGAAAGCAAATGTCTGTCAAGTTTGTTGAACTATAACAGTTTTATATGTATGGGGCTACATATTTTTTAACATAATATATATTTCTAAATAAGAATGGCTGGGGTATAATTTTCTGGACTATCATAATGTCATTGAATATTGAATGACTTCATATCAAATCTAATGTATGCTACATTCTAATTTAGTAATAAAAGTAGAAAAAATAGGAAACGATATAGAGGGTGTTTTGAACCGTGGGCATTTATTCTATAAATACTGTTATATAGGTGTCACTTCAACAGTTCCCTTCTCATGTTCCTCCGTATGCATTGAGAATAGCAAAAGGTGAATTCGGTTTTTGTGCACGTCTACTATTTGGAAAAGTTATTTTTTAAAGATTTCTCAAACAGTTAGGTGTTTTTTCACTATTATGCTGATGTGGTGTTTAGTTGTCATAAACGGTTGTAATTATTATCTTTTTCGGTTTTACAAGCAAATAAAATACAAACGTTGAATGAAAAAACGTAAACGGAACCAAACACATATATAATTAGTTTATCATTTTCTTGAACAATAATAACCCTTAAATCAAGGTTCAAAATATCGATACATGCACCCTGCAGATAGGGCAGAGCGGGTGTATTGGTACTTTGAACCTTCCACTTTTTTTTTTTTCAAATTTCAGAAGTGGGCCATAAAAATTCTATTTAACTTATTAAAAAAAGATTTCTTTTTAAAATCTCTTATTATTGACATAGTGGTCATGTTTTGCATTGAAATTTTGACCCTTGCTTTAAATAGCATAAATTATTATGTACATATGTAGCAATTTTGCATATCTCCTTTCTTTTTCCATTTTAAGTAATGCAATTATTCTTATTATTTATATTAATTTAAAAAATTCTATTAAGTACTTTCTTATTTATCCTTAATACCTCAGTGTAATAAATTTTATGCATACTAATTAAGAAAATGAAATTTAATTGATTTTATGTTACTATTAAAGGGCTATTTTGGTAATTAAAACATTCATTAACCAAAACAGGAAACAGACCGAGAGAACAATAGGAAAAAAAATAAAAAGAAACCAAACAACAACAAAACCAATCTGTGACAAACCAGACATGGCCTAGCTGCCCGTATTGAGACTCTTCAATACAACCACCACAATTTGGTTACATCATTTAAAACATTTTTGAATGAAAATTCCATCTTTTCATCCTCATCACTTGGGTGTTGGGTCATACTATTATTTTTCCCAGGTAAAAGCAATTATTTTTGTCATTTTTAGTCTATTTGACAACCTTTCTATAAAGCGAGGGAGACAACATTTATTAGCTACTACTACATTGTCGGATATAATATGCTTTTGACAATTTTTTGAAATGTGTTTCGGAGGAATTTGTCCATCAAACTTGACTTTACACACACATTCACACAGAATTGCACTGGGAACAATAAATGCATCACTATCTACTCTATATCTCTCTATAGAGTCATTTCTGAGATCGGTGCTTTGTGTTAGCTATGTCGAACATTATAGCAGAAACAACCCTTGTATTGAAACTAGGGTTTCTTCATCATAACTGCAATGCCTTCCCTTCAATCACCATGTGTTTTGTATGCATATTTAGAAGATTTTGACCTAGTTAGCATTAAATGGGTATATTGACTAATGCTGTGTTTGGAAGGAATACAAATAGAGTGCAAAACCTTGTACTTTATATTATTTTGTATGTATTTGACACAGTACATATTTGTATTTATAGTTTTAGTCATGCAAGTTTTTACCTGAAAGCTTTTAATTAGCTAGGTTGATTAATACAAATTGTCATACAACTGTTATTTGAGGCTGTTTATAGTTAAAGTAGGAATAGGACTGATCAATATTGATGTCTATAATTCTTCAAATGCATGTCTCTGTTGCTAAAGGGGTGGTGAAATTTAATCATTCTAGCTGGAGTGATTCTTATATGTTATGTGACAATAATACATTTCTCTCACCAAGTTTTATCCGTCAACCTAAAAGAATTGTACGTACCAAACACAACTTAGACTTAATTTGAAAGGAGTACAAATGCAAATATGTAGAGTGCAAAACCTTATATTTTTTATTATTTTGTATGTATTTACATTGTACATATTTGCATTTGTACTCTTTCCAAACTAAGCCTTAATGTCCCAATTATTTTTGAAATTCTAGTAGTAGCTATTCAGGAAATTCTGGGTAATAGTAGGTTCCTTTATTTTACAAATGATAATTCCTATAATCTAATACAAATTTGGAGAACTAACTTGGTTCCACAGTTATAACTAATATCCTCCGATTAATGCTTACTAGAAAATAATTTTTAAGAAATTTGTTTTATATATAATATTAGATTTTTTTGTCAAAATAATATTAGATTTTAGAATGCATTAACATGCAAATATGTATTATATGCATAATGCATACATATAGATATATTACATTAAACTACTTTAGTGTTTTTTTTTTCTCTTGAAAATTGGAATGATAAAAAAAGTATAGAGAAAAAGTCTGCCACACACAATTTTGTTTTCCTGTTCAAGAGGAGAAAGAAAGAACAAGATCCTTTTCTACATTGCATTCCCATTAAGGTCACCATCAAGTTTCCTATCATTGCCCACACCTCATTTTATTGATGATACTTCAGGCTCTTCTGTTCTAACAATTTGCAGTTTTCTTTGTTTGAACAAAATTAATCAACTTGCTTAACAAAGAAAAACCCAACTTCGAGTATATTCGTGTTTCATCTGGTTCATGAACACAACCAGTGTTCTATATGATTCCAAAACCAGAAAAAATGGGTTTTTTTTTTTTTTTCTTTGGAAGGAGTACAAATACAAATATGTACGGTATAAATCCATACAAAATATAAGGTTTTGTGCTCTACATATTTGTATTTGAATTCGTTCCAAATGGAGCCTTAACAATCTCGCTTTCTCAATCAAGAAACATGGTTTGCTCATATAAGCATAACATAACAGCTTATGTGGTGTATTTCATACCAATATGTAGGCTACAATCATAAATATTGTTTAGAGTGGGATCATTTAAAGCCATTGAATTACTTGATTTCAGTCTACTCAAATAAATGGTGATATCTCAACATCAATTAATGACCTTAAAATTCTGGTGTCAAAGATCAGATCACTGTTTTATTTCGAAGAACAGCATACTTGGCTGATTTGATTTTTATGTGCTGCTGCGTTATTGCAAATTAATATAATTCTGAGATGCATAAGAGACGACCACACATTAGAGAACTTCTTCATCAATTACATACCTTCTTCCATGAGTATTTAAGTCTCCATGGAAGGTCACTATTGCTCTCAGAAAGTAGGTCTAACATGGAAATCCACATTGCTCCCCATCCTCAATGCTGTTATCATCCTCATTATATGCATTACTTAGAGTATTTAAGTATATGTTCTTTGTTAATTATATATAAGTGAATAAAGAACTTCAAGCCTTTAAGTCAGAAATACAGACAACCAGAAATCAGAAAGACAAAGAAAAAGAAATGTGAGCACAAGAAAAAACATGCAAGCACAAAACGGCCCTTTTACGTTTACTTTTTGTTATTTTCTTGACATAACGAAAGATGAAACTGATTTTTCTGCCTTCTCTTCTGTCTTTTGGTAGTTTGCTTTTATATTTTCCCACTACCTATGATCTATCAGGGTAGATTGATATTGACAAACATTTTACTCTGATCAGTCATTCCAAATAAAAAATTATAAATGCAAATATTATTTTATAATCAAAAGAAATTTTCATCAACAGCTCTTTCCTCTTCTATCGTTATTATATCTGTAGAAGGTTGTATTAATAGATAATATTCTTGGTACAGTAGCAATTGCATATATATAATCTGGAAAGATGTATTTTGTTTATAAACACCCAAATGTATGTCATATGTACCTGAGATTTGATTTGTTTTCAGAGATGAGTCTTAAAACTAAGTAATCAATATRCTTGGATTTGGAGTGCCCCTAGCTAGACCTAGAGAGTGTTGATGCGCTTGTTTTGTATGTACACACGTACGGCATGTTTTAAAATATAATTGGTTTTGTTTTTGAAAATAAAAATAATTTTTATGTCAAAAAAAGTATATAATCTTTACTGATATTGCAGTTGTTTTTGTTTTCAAAAACAAAATCATCACCTTAGTGTAATTGTAAAATCTTAGTTTGACAAGCATGAAAATGCATATTCAAATTTGAAAACGACCACTTTGTTGTCTTAGTTTATATCTAATCTATCCCTCCCAAGACTTCATATGACTAGGACCAATTTTGAGTAATGACTGTTTTTTTTTAATGGATTGACCCGCATTAAATGTAATTAGATGGATCGTATTTC